CTAATGTTTGTTAAAGAGTTCTGTGTAAATACTTTTTATCAACTTCAGTGTGGTCATGTGATCTGTAAACTCTGGCTTTCCTGTGTCAGTGCAGTGGATGGGAGGAAGCACAGACAATAGGGATGGGGGTTATGAAAGCCAATGAGTGACATCACGGCTCTGGGAATTCAGCCCCACTCACTGGCACAGGACAGATGGAGTTTTCAGATCATGTGACCCCACTGAACTCTTTAACAAACAATAGGCAGCATGTGTATGAGGAGAGGAAAGAAATGTTTTAACCTAAATTATATTAGCTTTACTTTCACTTTCACAATTCACAATTAATTGAGATGACATGTTTGGGGATGCTGCAAAACTGTACATGGTTTTATTACCATTCTCAGCATCAGCAGCACTGTATTGTGTCATTACATAAATTGCATTTATAATAATTTAGTTTACTTTTACATTATTCATTGGCTTACATACAACAGCAGCAACCCAACATGATTGATTTCCACTATTTATTAGATTTTTTCTGTGTAAAAGTGATAGACCATTGCTGAACACTGAAAGTAGCAAAGACAATATAAAGTAGCTAAAATCTATTGTACAGTATATACCGTAGTTTGAAAAAAATGGCGTTAATGCTATCAACTTCATATTAACTGCCAACCAGTGCCAGAACAAGTCAAAGAGCATGGATTGAAATCTTCCTTTCTGTATTGTGTACAGAGTTTAACACAATGTCAACCCAAACTGCAGCAAAATACCTAAAGCCACACACCCATATTCCATGGAGGAGGCAGTTGTTAAAGTGAATGAAAAAAAATGAGTGTCACATACAATATGAATGAATAGCACCACTCACAAGTCCTATAATGTCCTGTCGGCTTTTCCTGTGCTCCAGGTCTTGTAAGGTGAATGTTCGGATCCATTCCTCCACATAATTAAACAAACTCAAGCCACACTTCTGATAATGTAAACCAGGTTAAACAGTAAGGATGCTGGCTTTAGCCACAGTCCCCATACAGCACACGAGGGGTAAGAGGGCCCTACTCTTTTGAGCTTACAATCTGGGAGGGAGGGGGAAGTGGTACAGGAGGAAGTGGCTGTGGGGGATGGGAGTGGTAGGAGGAATGAAGGAGAGCAGCAGTTAGGTGAGGGTGGGTAAGGCCTTCCCTGAAAGAGGGGTTTTCAGGGAGCGCCTGAAGTGAGGAGGGAAGGTGACAGTCTGATGGATTGGGGTAGTGAGTTCCAGAGGATGGGGGAGGACCTGGAGAAGTCTTGCAGACGTGCGTGTGAGGAGGAGACCAGGGAGCAAGATAGAAGGAGGTCCTGTGAAGAGCGAAGGGTACGGGTAGGGTGGTACTTGGGAATCAGGTCGGTGAGGTAGTTAGGGCAGTGTTGTGAATGGCTTTGTAGTCAGAGTGAGTAGTTTGAATTTGATGCGTTGGGCGATAGGAGCCAGTGGAGGGAGAGGCAGAGGGGGGTGGCAGAGGTGGAGCGGCTGGTGAGGTGGATGAGTCTGGCAGCTGAGTTCAGGATGGTCCTGAAGCGGGAGAGTTTTGCACTGGGTAGGCCGGTGAGGAGGGAGTTGCAGTAGTCAAGGCGTGAGATAATCAGGGAGTGCACAAGTAGTTTAGCGGTGTCTGGGGTAAGGAAGGTGCGTATTTTGGGCGATAATTGCGGAGGTGGAGCCTGCATGTGTGTTTGTCAGTGATTTTGACATGAGGTTGGAAGGAGAGGTTAGAGTCCAGAAATGACCCCAAGGACTTTGGCTTGCGGGGCGGGATTGATGGTGGTGATGTTAGTAGTGATGGATAGGATGGGGGGGGGGGCGCGGGCATGAGGGAAAGACGAGAAGCTCGGTTTTGGAGAGTGTTGAGTTTGAGGAAATGGAGCGACATCCAGTCAGAGATGTCGTTTAGGAGGTGAGTGATGCGGCGGAGAAAGTGGAGGTGAGGTGAGGGTGGAGAGGTAAATCTTGAGTGTCATCAGCATAGAGATGGTAGTTTGAAGCCGTGGGAGTGTATGATTTGCCAAGGGAGGAGGTGTAGATGGAGAAGAGAAGGGGTCCAAGGACCAGAGCCCTGGGGACCCCAACAGAGAGGGGAGGGGAAGGGGAGGTGGCACCATTGTAGGAAACGCTGAAGGAGCGTCGGGATGGTAAGAGGAGAACCAGGAGAGAGCGTGTCCTCTGACGCCAAGGAGAATAGTTTATTAAGGAGGAGGGGGTGGTCAACTGTGTCGAAGGCCGCGAGAGGTCCAGGAGAGGAGGATAGAGTAGTCGCCTTTGGCTTTGGCAGTAAGTAGGTCGTTGGTGATTTTGAGGAGGGCGGTTTCGGTGGAGTGTAGGGGACGGAAGCCGAACTGTAGTGGATCAAGGAGGTTTTTGTCAGTTAGGTGGGCGCTTAGGCGGTTGTAGACTAAGCGCTCCAGGAGTTTGGAAGTGATGGCAGCAGGGAGATGGGTCTGAGGATGTTTGTGTCAGAGGGGTCCAGGAGGGCTTTTTGAGTATGGGGGTGATGTGGCGCATGCTATTAGGGGGGAGGGGAATACGCCGGGTAGAGAGGGAGAGATTGAAGATGTGGGTGAGGGAGCAGATGAGGGAAGAGGGGGTGACTGGAGGAGTCGAGAGGGGATAGGGTCTAGGGGCAGTAGTGAGGCGGGCTTCAGAGAAGACCCTGGTGACTTCCTCAGTGGTAGCGGGGCTGAAGAGTGCAGAGCTGGTGGGTTACGGTAAGCGGGGTCTTGGTGTTGAGGGGGGCAGTGCGGTTGCGAGGTCAGAGGAGGGAAGAGATGAGGGGGAGATAGGGGGGGGAGGCTAGGTGGGGAGGTAGATTGCGAGTTGACTATGTCCTGACCGGATAGCATCAATTTTAATTGTGGAAATGAGTGGCAATCTCGTGGGCGGTGAGTGAGGTACTGAGTGGAGGAGGGGGGGAGAGAGCAGGGAGTTGAAGGTGGAGAAGAGTCGGCGAGGGCAGGAGAGAGGGTGTTAATCAGGTTTACGAAGTAAGCCTGCTTGGCGGCGTGGAGGGAGGAGTGTAAGTGAGGAAGGCAGATTTGTAGAGGGAAATGAACGGGGGACCTGGTTTTGCGCCATAGTCTCTCCAGCGCACGACTGCGACGTTTGAGGCATTTAGTGTGGTCTTCTGCCATGGTTGGAGCGGTCTGGGTTTGATGTAGCGTGTGGTTAGGGGTGCCAGAGAGTCTAGGGTAGCTGATAGTGAGTCGTTGTACGTGTTAGTGGCTAGGTCAGGACAAAGACAGTGTGGAAGGATTCTGTCGTGTAGAGCGGTCGGCAGCTGAGTGGAGGGGGGGCCGGGTTCAGGTTGCGAAGTTGCGGCTGGTGATGGTTTGGCGCTCTGGGGGGGGAGTTAGGGGAAGGGAGATGGAGAACGTGGGAGGTGGTGGTCGGAGAGAGGGGAAGGGGGTGTTAGAGAAACTGGTTGAGGGTACAGAGGTGGGAGAAGACGAGGTCCAGGGTGTTCCCAATGATGTGGGTGGAGGATTGAGTGTGCTGTGTGAGCGCGAAGGAGGAGGTTAGGTGGAGGAATTGGAAGTAGCCGGGCAGTTTTCATTGATGGGGATATTGAAGTCCCCGAGGATGATGGTTGGTAGCTCAGAGGAGAGGAAGAAGGGAAGCCAGGCAGCGAAGTCATCAGGAAGCGGGGAAATGGATCCGGGAGGCCTGTAGATCACTGCGATCCTTAGGGGGAGTTGGGTGAGAAGAGCCGGATGCAGTGAGCCTCGAAGGAGGAGAAAGTTAGGGAGGGAGGATTAGGGAGGACCTGGAAGGTGCTCAGCGGTGATAGAGCAGGCCGACCCCACCACCTTTGTGACCCGACCGCTCAGTCTTGGTAAATGGGACCAGACGAGACCTCCATAGGAGAAGTGCCGCAGGGGAGGTGGAGTCAGTGGCCTGTACCCAGGTTTCGGTGAGGCTAGGAGTTTAAAGGGAGCGGGAGATAAAGAGGTCATGGATGGCAGTAAGTTTGTTGCAGACCGAGCGGGCGTTCAGGAGTGCAACCGAGAGAGGGGGGATGGATGCGGGGAGAAGGGGCACAGATATGAGGTTGAGGGGGTTACGGCAGCTGGCGGGAAGCAGGGGGGTCCCTAGAGGAGAGGGGTGAGGTGGCGAGGGGCCAGGGTTCGGGGAGATGTCCCCAGCAGATAGGAGAAGGAGAAGGGTGAGGAAGGTGGCCATGGGAATGGGAAGTGTAGGAGCGTGTGGGTCTGATAGTGGTGGCACGTGGGTCGACGGGTGGGTGGGAGTGGAGTAGCAGGAGGAGGTGGTGAGTGCCGTAGTGGGAGAGAGGGGAGTAGTGAAGGGGCAATGTAGAGCTGTTTTGGGGGGGTAGGCGGGTAGAGGAGGCGATTTTTGGGGATGGTGGAGAGGAAAATGAGGAGAGGAGTGAGTGCAGGAGGCATGTTGGGGTGGGTGCGGTGACAGTTGGGTCAGGGAGGTGAAGGGATACAGGGTCAGGGCAAGGTTGACTGTGGGGAATCTGTGTTACCATGGGAGAGTCATTTGAGTCCTTCTGTAGGGTAGAGTGAGGGTGGAGGGCGGCAGCTGGTTGGCAGCAGTCTGTGGGTGCAGTAAGCTGGCGACCATGGGTGCTGTGGCATGTCTTCAGTGGGTACGGTGGTTCGGCTAGTGGAGGGGTCGTAGGGTGCGATGGCTGGGGGTGATGGTAGGCACGGTGACTTGAGCTTAATTTGGACTTCCAATGCCATGATTTACAAACAACAATCAAACATATAGCACAGTGGCTGGAATGCATGTAAGCAGTTTCACTGGGCCTGAGGAAGCTATGTAAGGGTAAGAATTTTTTTTTTTCCAATAAATAACAGAGTATGATATTTCAAAGATAGCAGCTAAGAGATGAGCGAAGTATTCAAAAATTCGATTCGGCTGATTCGGCGAATTCGAGGAATAAATTTGATTCGATGCGAATATATTCGCTGCGAATTTAACTTATAAAAGGGTGTTTCTAGGCTTCAGAGAGCCTTTATATTAGTGCAGAACACTGTACCTTTAATTTAAATGCCCTTGGAGTCTGCTGGGGAAGAGAAATAATACTGTCAGTCAGTATGACATGCAGATGAGTGCCGTCGATCTTAGAATCACCGCACACTTCACTCATTTGGGCAGTCACGGGGCCAAAACCAGAGTGTGGAGCCACAGTGTGGCGGTGGAGGCAGCAGCAATGGGAGGCCATACAGCACCCTATGACAAAAATGGAACCCACCAGCAGTGTGAGGAGACCTGAAAGTGGCACATGGCAGAGTGTGGCGATGTGGCGATGGAGACAGCAGCAATGGGAGGCCGTACAGGGACCCATGACACACACTCTGGACCTGGCAGCAGCATGAGGAGGCGGTACGGGGGCCCATGGCAGATTACGGGCCTGGCAGCAGCAATGGGAGGCCCGTAATCTGCCAGCACCCTATGACAAAATGGAACCCACCAGCAGTGTGAGGAGACCTGAAAGTGGCACATGGCAGAGTGTGGCGATGGAGACAGCAGCAATGGGAGGCCGTACAGGGACCCATGAGAGACTCTGGACCTGGCAGCAGCATGAGGAGGCAGTACAGGGGCCCATGGCAGATTACGGGCCTGGCAGCAGCAATGGGAGGCCCGTAATCTGCCAGCACCCTATGACAAAAATGGACAGCACCAGCAGTGTGAGGAGACCTGAAAGTGGCACATGTTTGGGGCATGATTCATGGCGGATTTAGTCAGTTGTGTCAGGAACTGGTGGTTTGAAATCCAGACTAATCCACGCCTGATTCATTTTCACAAACGTCAGTCTCTCTCCACACTTTGGGTGGACAGTCGTGTCCTCCGCGGAGCTACAATACCTCCTGCCGCACTAAACACGCGCTCCGATGCCACGCTACTGGCCGGGCATGACAGCCTTTCAAGGGGCAAATTCAGCTAGTTGGGGCCAAAGGTCAAGTTTTCGTTGCCCAGTAGTCAAGGGATTGTCTACCTCGGTTGGCAGGGTGCTGTCCAAGTAGGCCCAAGCCTGTTGTTTGAGGTCCTGCTCCAGGTCCACCTGATGCTGCTGCTGCTGCGGCTGGTTAGTAGTTTCCTCACTGCGCTGGTGAAGAAAGCTACTCATCATCGAATGCAGACTGAGGCAGCCGCTGCTGGTGGAGCTGCCACTGCTCCTACCACCCCACCCCTCCCCTGCTGCCATGGCAGCGGAACGTGAGCGCACAGGGCCCACAGTGTCTGAGGATGGACGTTGGCGCAGAAAGGCAGAGACCAACTGACTACATAGGTGGTTTTTATAGTACGTTATTTTGGCCTCCCTCTAAGCAGGTGTGAAAAAGGCCACCATTTTTGAACGGTAGCGAGGTTCCAACAAGGTGGACAGCCAAAAGTCATCCCTCTGTCTGATGGTTATTATTCGGCTGTCGCTACGCAAGCAACCGAGCATGCTATGGGCCATTTGTGCCAAGGAATGCGAGGGACTCCCTGCCTCCATCTCCACAGCATACTGCCACGGTGCGTCTGGGTCCTCTGTCTCCTCCTCCTCCTCCTCTACCAGATGCTCCTGCTCCTCCACTCCTGTCCGCTGAGTGGAAAAACCACCCATTTCACTCAATAATTCCTGAGCACCAATGTCCTCCTCTACCTCCTCCTCTTCTTCCTGTCCTGCCCCCACAGGGGTCATGTGGCGTTGAGATCTGTACGCCACGTCTACTGCACCCTGACCAGCCATTGTTAACAGCATTTGTTCCAGGACGTGCAACAGAGGAATGACGTCGTTCATCCCATAGTCCTGCCGACTCACGAATAGCGTGGCCTCCTCAAAGGGCCTCAGCAAGCGGCAGGTGTCACGCATGAGCTGCCAATGGCTGACATCGAAGTTACACAGGGGAGTACCTTTATCCGCTTGTAACATCAGGAAATCTATGATGGCCTTTCGCTGTTCGTAAAGGCGGTCTAACATATGTAGGGTTTGAATTCCACCTTGTTGCAACGTCGCAGATCAGGCGATGCTGTGGAATTCCGTTCTGCCGCTGCAGCTCAAGGAGGGTGTGCTTTGCGGTGTAGGAATGGCTGAAATGCATGCAAAGTTTACGTGACATTTTAAGGATGTCTTGCAGTGGGATGGTGGATTTTAGGAACCGCTTGACAACCAGATTGAACACGTGAGCCATGCATGGCGCATGGCACAACCTTCCTTGACGCAGAGCAGACACCATGTTCTTTCCGTTGTCGGTCAACATGGTTCCGATTTTCAGTTTGCGCGGAGACAGCCATCTGTCGATTTTCTCTGTTCATTACACTCAGAAGTTCCTCCCCTGTGTGACTACGTTCGCCAAGGCATACCAGGTGCAGCACAGCGTGACACCGTTGCGCCCTGCACATGTGATATGCCGGTCGGGTAATGGGACTTGGCACGGGGGGGTGGCGGCTGAGGACATGGCGGAAGAAGAGGTGGTAGAGGCGGACATCTTTTGTGGACCAAGGACGTGCAAAACGTGGAGGGCAAAAGCAATAATGGTGTGACCCTCCTGCGCTCCAAATGTGTGTTAAACCAAATTGAAATAATAAATGAACCCCATTACAGCTGCTAACATTAAATCATATACCAATGATCAAGTGAATATATAACCATAAAAATGCTGCGCTACATTCAAACTAATTAAAGTAAATGTGGAATTCAATAGCTCAAATGAAATAATAACAAATAATGATAAATATTGAATATAAATTAAGAAATGTGCTAAGTGATAACACAAAAAATAATGAAAAAAAACACAAACTTAAATCAATACGCATGTGCATAAAAAATGCACATACATATATTAGATCACACGTGCAAAAATGTGAAGTGAAGATACATCTAAATCATACACACAAAAACAAAGTCCAATAATGGAGTAAAGTCCAATAATGGAATATAAAAGGTGAAAAAAAAATGTTTTTTTTTTGGTAAACTGTGTTTCTGATATGCTGTAAAGTGACCACAGGTGAAACAAAAAACGTTGCAGGACGGATTCTGGGTGTAGTGTAGATAACTTGTGAATCCAACCACCTTCTGGATTAGCCTCTCACCTCATCTCTTCGACCCCTTGCGGGTCAAAGAGCAGTATGGATCCCTCTCACAGATCCTCCAGGCACCAAAGCACTCCAAAACCCACTTCTCAGGATAAAATATTCCCACTCAGCTCTTCTCCAAATGTAGATGAAAATATCACTTTCCCAGAACAAAACAAAGGGATCCTCCCATAGTGTAGTAAGTTTATTATGCCATAGGAACATCAAATCTTTAATAAAAATGCACTTACGTAGCAGCCAGTCCACATTAAACCCTCATGCTCTCAAAATGAGGATATGTGTATGTAAGTTGGGTGTACAGCTGAGTCCACAGGTGTACCAAGATGGCCACCACGCCGGAAATACGTCACCGCGCTACGCCGACGCGTTACGTCACAATATCACGTGACTTCATCAGTGGTCACTTTACAGCATATCGGAAACACAGTTTACCAAAACAAAAACATTTTTTCACCTTTTATATTCCATTATTGGACTTTACTCCATTATTGGACTTTGTTTTTTTGTGTGTATGATTTAGATGTATCTTCACTTCACATTTTTGCACGTGTGATCTAATATATGTATGTGCATTTTTTATGCACATGCGTATTGATTTAAAGTTTGTGTTTTTTTCATTATTTTTGTGTTATCACTTAGCACATTTCTTAATTTAATATATTTATCATTATTTGTTATTATTTCATTTGAGCTATTGAATTCCACATTTACTTTAATTAGTTTGAATGTAGCGCAGCATTTTTTTATGGTTTATATTCACTTGATCATTGGAGGCAAAAGCGGCGTGACCTGTCCAAGTTGCTGGTGCGGCTGTGCCGGCACCACGTTCACCCAGTGGGCCGTAAATGACATGTACTGTCCCTGACCGTAGTTACAGCTCCACACGTCGGCGCTGCCGTGCACTTTGGCAGAGACCGACATGCTCAAAGACTGGCCCACCATCTCTTCTACATGTGAATGCAGGGCTGGCATTGCCTTTTTGGCGAAGAAATGATGGCTTGGCACTCTCCACCGCGGCGCGGCACAAGCCATCATTTCTCGGAAAGGTGCTGAGTCCACTACTTGGAAAGGGAGGGACTGCAGCACCAGCAACTTGGACAGGAGGACGTTCAGCTTTTGCACCGTCGGGTGCGTGCTCGCAAACTGTTGTCTCTTGGAAACGGATTCCAAGAAAGACTGCTGACAGAATCCGTGAAGAGGAGTAGCAGGAGAAGGAGCATCTGAACGAGCGGAAGATATGCCAACGAGCGACAACTCCCCTCAGCAGAGGTGTTGGAGCCTTGACTGGCTGATAGAGGGCGATTGACGTCGGGTATAGACGGAGCAAGTAAACGGAGCGGGTGATGGAGCGGGGGCTGGGGCAGGCAGAACCGCCGTATCTTTATCACGGTTTTCCCAGGCCACCAAATGGCGACGCTGCATATGCTGACGCAACGCTGTAGTCCCAACATGGGCCCCCTGGCCACGCTTGACTTTTTCTGGCCACATAGTCGACATATGGCTATGTTTACTTCCTCGGGCGGCTTGACGAAAAATTGCCACACCGCCGAGTAGGAAACTTTGCCCCCGATACTCCTCACTGGCTGACTGCTACTTCCTCCGTGCACACCGGCACCACTACTGGCCGTGGTGGTAGGCTTCAGTGGAGCTAGTGCTGTACTCCGTGGCCGTTTGCCTCCACTGACACTGCTGCGACCCTGCTGCCTCCTGGGCAACCCACCGACTGTTTTGCTCGCTGCCAAGCTGCCACCCTCTTCTCCTGATGATGCGGAAGCAATAGCCTGATGACGACGAGGCTGCCAAGTGCGATCAGCCTCATCATCATCAATTAGGGTCTCCGCCTCACTACTAGCCCCCTCGGCTGCGTGTGGGTCAGGAGACAGACCTGTCTCTAGACCGGCTACCGAGCCACTCTCCTCGCCAGTACTTCTTCGCCTGGCTGCTGAAGAGGCGGATGTCTCCCCCCGTTCCTGACCGCCCTCTGTTAGCTCTTCCTCACTGTACAGTGGGGCTGAGCACACAGCATGCGATACTTCGCTTGGTGAGGGAACACCAAAGGACAGGACAAAGGTAGAGGACACGTGATTTTCAGTGGACTTGCTCCCGGGCCATGCCAACTAACGGTTGTGTCTGACGTACCCACCGACCGTTGGCTGTAGGTGTCAGAGGTGACCTGGGAAGAGGAAGATGACCGAGCCAACCAATCGATGACGGCAGGGTTGTCGGTGGAGACACGACCGCTGGATGACACCGGGAGCACTGGCCTCTGGCTGCGACTAGTGCTGCCTCCAACCCTTCCTCTGCTGCCACGTCTGCTCGCTCCTAAAACATTGCCTCCTCTGCCACTCCTCTGCGTGTTGTCTGACATACTCTTTAATTAAACGATTCTGTGTCCCTGAGTAACAATTCTGTGTCCCTCAGTAACAATTCTGTGTCTGTCCCTGAGTAACAATTCTGTATCCCTGAGTAACAATTCTGTGTCCCTCAGTAACAATTCTGTGTCCCTCAGTAACAATTCTGTGTCTGTCCCTGAGTAACAATTCTGTGTCTGTCCCTGTCCC